GGACTTTTATGTGGTACTTAAGACCTGATCTATTGGTATATATTTTACCACAAACATCACAGCTAAATGATTTCTCTCCTGCGTGGACTCTCATGTGTGTTTTCAGCTTTCCCAGTTCTGTAAATCTCTTCCTACAAACCTTACAGCCATATGATTTATTTCCTGTGTGGACTTCCATCTCTGAATCTACATTTTGCTTTACTCTAAAACATTTCTTATTAACCAAACGGCTGGAGGAACTTTTTTCTGAATGACTTAACATGTGAATCAGGAGAGATGCATTGTGGTGATATTGTTTACCACACACTAAGCAGCTAAAGGATCTTTTCCCAGCATTACATCCTGCATCACTTACAGGAGCTTCCTTATATTTCAGAGCATTTACACCTGACTCAGGTGCTCTGGTCTCCTTCCAACCATTGTCACTGTCTTCAGTTTTAGGTCCAGAATCTGACAAAGGTTCTTGCCAGTCATTTTCACTGACTTCAGTGTCTGAAGCTTTTTCATCAGTATCTGGTTGTAAATGACTATCTGGATCAAGGTTCCCAGCAGGTTCTGATCCTCCATCAGTTTCTGTTTTTATCTGCGTAGCTGAGCTGCTGGCTGAAGGCTCTGCCTCTCTGTTGTCCTCAGTTTGTCTTTGATGAAGCTGTGGAGACTGAGGTTTCTCTTCCTCATCTTCACTCTTCACAGTAACAGCAGTGAATGGGAACCTGGTGATATCAGCCTCCTCCAGCCCATTAAGCTGCTCTCCCTCCTGACTGATCCAGAGTTCCTCCTGTTCTTCTTTTATGTGTAGGGGTTCTGGGTCCTCCTGGTCCAGACTGGGGCTCCACTCAGAGGGAACCTCTTCTTTAATCACCAACAGCTGCTGGACATCTGCAGGCAACACTGAAACACACAGCAAAAATTGTTGGCAGCCATTTTCTAGAAAATTGATAGATAATGTATCATAACTCATGATGGAGTTCCCATACTAAATCTTAGGATGCAGGTCAAGAACACGTGTAACCAGATGGTACCATCCAAGGCAAGTAGTGAAGGAGTCTTTAAAAGTGTCATCAAATTTTAATGGCCCTAACACATACAATACCTATCCAAAGTATTCACCCCCTTCAGGTCAGTATTTAGTAAATGCACCTTTGGCTGCAATTACAGCACGGAGTCTGTGAGATCAGGCTGGCACATACGGACACTGCAATTTTTCTCCCTTCATCCTTGCAAAACAGTTCAAGCTCTGTCAGGTTGCTTGGGGATCGGGTGTGAAGTCCAGCCACAAATTCTCGATTGGATTGAGATCTTGGATCTTGGATCGGATCGACTCCAGAACATTCACCTTGTTGTCTTTGAACCATTTCTATATAGCTTTTGCTGCATGCTTGGGGTCGTTGTCTTGCTGGAACAGAAATCTTCTCCTAAATTGTAGTTCTCTTGCAGACTGAGTAAGATTGGCGATATTTTTCTGCATTCATATTCCCCTCTACCTTTACAAGCACCTTCTTCCAGTTGACCTTGGAGTCTAGCACATGCCTTTGGGCAAATTCCAGGCCAGATTTCATATGAGCTTTTTTCAACTGTGGCTTTCTCCACTTCTACAGCTACGGCTGGTGAAGAACCCGGGCAACAGCTGTTGTATGTGCAGTCTCTCCCATCTGAGCCACTGAAACTTTTAACTCCTTCAAAAAAAGAGGTTTTTTTTTTTTTTTTTTTTTCAAATTCTTGTCCAAAAAGCCAAATGATATTGACCATGATTTCATGCATAAATGAAACAAAAGGGAGAAACATCCAAGAGGGGTTAATACTTATTATAGGCATTGGATACAATATCTCACAAAAGTGAGTACACCCCTCACATTTTTGTAAATATTTGATTTTATCTTTTAAATGGCTAATTGGGCCCAATTTGGACATTTTCATGATGACAGCAGGATGACATCAAGTTAGGGCTGGACAATAAAACAATAATGATAATTATCGCAATATAATTTTCATTTTTTGACAATTAGCACTTTATTTTTTCTATTAAAATATTTATTTTGTTGAGGAAATGGATTGAAAAAAAATATTTTATCGTAATAGTTTTGAATGTTCTACCTCCGATTTGTTGAGTGATTCACTGCTTGGCGTTAAGTGTTTGGGCCTGGAAGAATACAAAGTCTTACCTGTGTTCCTTCTAGGCATCCCCACTCCACTTGTGATTCTCCGCTTTACAATCCTTTCTTGCAGCTCAGAGATGTATGCGTACGTTTTTTCAGATTTCAGGGCATATAAGTTGTAACTTCTGCCGTTTTTCTTGTACAGCCTTCTGAAACTGTAATTACACAAATTTCAACCATTTAATATTAGTCAGGTCATTATAACAACTGATAACATTGAGTGCACATGTAAATAAATAATCACTTTTATTCATAACATGTGTATATGAGAATATTTCAAGTGTAAAACTTACATCTCTTTTCCGTCTGCTGTTTTTAATGTTGGTCGGTTCCGGTGGAAGTTATAGTCCAGAGCAGCAAGCAGAACTCTTGCCTCATAAACTGGGGGACTGAAGGTGAAGCGCTTGCTGGCATACATCAATATATGATTCTGGAAAGCCTCTAGGTCTGCAGTTGATCTGATTGAACAAAAAAATAATCAGCCAATCACATGGCAACAACTCAATGTATTTAGGCATGTAGACGTGGTCAAGACAACTTGCTGAAGTTCAAACTGAGCATCAGAATGGGGAAGAAAGGGGATTTAAGTGACTTTGAACGTGGTATGGTTGTTGGTGCCAGACGGGCTGGGAGTATTTCAGAAACTGCTGATCTACTGGGATTTTCACGCACAACCATCTCTAGGGTTTACAGAGAAGTGTCAGAAAAAGAGAAAATATCCAGTGAGCGGCAGTGATGTGGACGAAAATGCCTTGTTGATGTCAGAGGTCAGAGGAGAATGGGCAGACTGTTTCAAGACGACAGAAAGGCAACAGCAACTCAAATAAGCACTTGTTACAACCAAGGAATGCAGAATACCACCTCTGAACGCGCAACACGTCGAACCTTGAAGCAGATAGGCTGCAGCAGCAGAAGACCACACCGGGTGCCAATCCAGTCAGCTAAGAACAGGAAACTGAGGCTACAATTTACACAGGCTCACCAGAATTGGACAATAGAAGATTGGAAAAAGTGGCCTGGTCTGATGAGTCTCGATTTCAGCTCCAACATTCAGATGGTAGGCTCAGAATTTGGTGTAAACAACATGAAAGCATGGATCCATCCTGCCTTGTATCAACGGTTCAGGCTGCTGCTGCTGGTGGTGTAACGGTGTGGGGGATATTTTCTTGGCACACTTTGGGCCCCTTAGTACCAACTGAGCATCGTTTAAACATGACTGCCTACCTGAGTATTGTTGCTGACCACGTCCATCCCTTTATGACCACAGTGTACCATCTTCTGATGGCTACTTCCTGCAGGATAAAGCACCATGTCACACCATCCTAAAAATATCTGCGAGCCGCTTGTCTCTAGCTACAGTTGGTGCGTCAGAAATTATTTAACCAGAGGCGACATGTAAATAAACTTGAAATGAACAAGTAACCAACACGGTTTCCTGCCAGACAAATTTATCTAGCTCCTCTTTAAAATGTGAAACGTTAGTGTGAAATCCTGCAGTACTCGTAGACAGTCATGTAGTATTAGATGCATTCAACAGCAGCGTTTCCTCTGGGTCACCATCATAGACGGCATGTTTTAGAGCCTGATGGTGGTGGAGAAATGGTTTCTTGTAGATTTAGTTAAAATTTAAATTAAATTGGAGTGCTGGTAAAGGGATAAACAAATGTGAATATGCTACATTGAAATTAGTTTTTATGGCAGATTATATGTAAAGTAAAATCCATTATGCTTATTCTCTCTCATTCTCTGCTGACTTCAAACCAATTGAGATGCTGTGACATGAGCTCAAGAGACATCCCAAAACTACTGCTGAACTGAACCAGTTTTGTACAAAGGAACTGTCCTCCTGCAACTACAGGAAACGTTAAGTTGAGGTTATTGCTGCCAAAAAACGGGTCAACAAGTTATTAAATCCAAGGGTTCACACATTTTTTTCCAACCTGCACTTTGAATGTTTACACGGTGTGTTCAATAAAAACAATTCTAAGATCAGATCACATTTTATGATCAATTTATGCAGAAATCCAGGTAATTCCAAAGGGTTCACAGACTTATTCCTGCAACTGTACACACACACACACACACACACATATAATACATTTACATTACATTTACATTTTAAAAAGCACAAATACTCATGTAGGCACACTTTACCTGAAGCGCAGGTATTTATGCACATCCTTCAGCCAACGCTTATTGAGAACAATGTCCACTAAAACTTTGTGGCACCTGGAGTCTTTCTGGATCCACGGCTTTCCACGTGTTTCTTCCAGGTGCCTTCCATGTTGACACCTTCCATTAGTCCAGGTATGAACATCACACACATGGTGAATGATGCCAATCCATAGTGCCTGTGGAAAAAAAACAGCACTATAAAAAGATCCATATGGAAATGAATTAACTTGCTTAAAAGAAAAAATATTTAAAAAATGACGTGCTTACTAAAAACTTCTTGGCCGTGTCAGCTTTCTTACAACACCACCAGAAATGGTTTACGATGTCTTTCAACCAGATGAGGAGGACAAACTGTCCTTCCATCTTTGCTGCCTTCAGGAGCAAAACAAACATAATAAAATAGGACATGGATATTAAACCGTATTCCATGCAGGGCTGAGAGTAAACAGATTTTCATCCCAACCAAAGATTACACCAGATTATTTCAATGATTAACACCTTCAGTGAGCGAGGAGGAGCCAAGCAGTGAAATCAACTTTTGTTGTCTTTGACTGGAATGAAAAATGTACAGACTCTCAGCCAGCAATGACACATAGTTAAATACCCCTGATGTCACTCTATGATGAATACATACTGTAGACACTAACATGAGCCACTTATTCAACTTACAGCTGCTATTCTTTTGACCAGGTTCTTGGCACCATGCCACATGTCCAGACTGTGATGAATTCCAAGATCCTTGTATCTGCCTTCATATGGGTCTGTGAAGTAGGGAAACATTTATTATTACTACAATATTTTAATCATCTTTTCAATGCATGTATTTGTACATTATATCAGATGAGTACTTACTCATATGGGCTGTGATCTGGGCATTAGCACCTGTGCAGATCTCCACTAGTTTTATCTCTGATGTAAGCTTGTCCATAGTCTCGATAAAACCCTCCTTCTCCATGACGACAGAGTTGCAGGATGTCTGCTGCTTGTTGATGGTGGCAACATGAATGATCTCCTTGGTGTCATTCTCCATGGCGGCGTAGCTGCAGTAATGTGCACAATGGCCTGGTGAGTCATATGTGCCGTCCACTGAAAACAAAAGTCATATATATATATATATATATATATTACAAAATATATATGAGTTAGCTGCTTACATGCAGTCACACTGCCTAATGTCTTCAATACTTGCATGGTAAAGTTTCAGCTACGCACCTAGGACCACAACATCTTTCCCCTGAAGGCCACTGAGGGCCTCAGTCCTCCTCTCTTCCCAGAAGCTCTTCACTGTGTCCACACAGTAAGCGTCCTGAATGGACACGAAGGTGTTCTTCTTCACCATCCCCATGTTCATGAACTTGAACAAGAGGGCGACCTTCGCATAGTCGTTGCCAGACAACAAAATGTTGGTGGACAAGAGAAAATCTCCAGCTTGCGTCCCACACTTCATTACAGGCTGGGAATTCCACCTCCACAAGCTGTGTCCATTGGGACAGATCTGAAAGTCCAAGAAAAGGCAGGATTGCATTTGGCATGTACAGCACTGGCTTTCACTACAAAATTTGTTTTAATGGGAATTTTCAGTTATGATACGCTGCGACTGTCAGGACTTACCCATTCGACACTCGTTGCTGTGCCCTTGGAAGTGATGTTGATCTCAAAGGGGGCAACACAGTCACACACCACACCAGTCTTTAAAAGGCCTGTACATTTTTTCACAGGCAGGATCAGAAATGTAGCCAGCTGTCTCAAGCAGTCCTCGTATACTATTGAAGCTCTGGCACCAACGATGTCATCTTCACAAAGGACCTGCTGTGGGGATGGGAAAACAGGGTCCTGATCACAGGGAGAAGCCTCATCAGGAGGGTCTTCACGTGCAGGCTGGTCATGCGCTGCCTCGCCCGTTCCAATAACTGGAAGTCGATCGATCGATGGTGCTTTCTTTAATGCTCCACCCATTCTGTTGAGGCCCAACATGAAGGCATATGTGTAAAGATTTGAATAAAAGCTGGCATCACAGAACAATAGCAGAGTAAAGACTGACTGATAACACACCGTATACAAATGGGTGGAAGATCCTCTTCATCAGAGCTGTCATCTTTATCTCCATCATCTTTTTCATGAAAGGAAGGGGGGCCTTCATCTGTCCAATCAATTCTGTAAAAGGAGGACATATTCAGAAAACAATAACTTCTAGAGAGAGAACACTAAATAGTAATAAATGTCATTATGAAGCACAACTTACACACTGTTCAAGGGGTTATTGAAAACACAGAGCTTCTCATTCATGCTGATGTCATATAAGCTGTAGAAAAAAAACATTAAAATATATGAATTATGAATATATATATATAAAACACAAGACATGTAGTGCAAAGAATTTATCAAAGTTGAACTGTTATCAGTGTTTCCCATACATTGATATATTCCGCACAAAGAAGATTACTAAATCCATACAGAGCTGAATGGTTAACGTTAGTAGGCACAAATCTATCCAACACAATTACGTCAATTTCACCAGCCCACCATCAAATAACTTATTAGCAAGCATATATGGAGCCTAGCTAATAAGGATAGCTACACTATATTACCAAAAGCTTCTGGTCGCCTGCCTTTACGTGCACATGAAGGTTTATGACATTCCATTCTTAATCCGTAGGCACAGAAACACATTTGTGAGGTCAGGTACAGATGTTGGATGAGAAGGCCTGGCTCCCATTCTAATTTATCTTAAAAGGTGTTCTAACGGGCTGGGGTTAGGACTCAAGTGCAAGTTCTCCACAACAAACTCGCTCATCCATGTCTTTATGGAAATTGCTTTATACACTGGTGTGCTGCCATGTTGGAAGAGAAAGGGAACATCCCCAAACTGTTTCCACAATGTTGGGAGCATGAAGTGGTTCAAAATGTCTTGGTAAGCTGAAGTATCAACAGTTCTTTTCACTGGAACTAAAGGGCCAAGCCCAGCCCCTGAAAAACAACCCCACACCATAATCCCCCCTCCACCAAACTCTACACTCGGCACAATGCAGTCAGGTATTACATTACATTTACTCATTTGGCAGACCCTTTTATCAAAAGCGACTTACATTTGAGGAACAACATACAAGCATCAACAAAGCATCAATACAGTACGAGATCTACAACTGACAATACATACTAGTAAAGGCAGCAATAAACACTAGTAAAAGATAATAGCTTGTATGGCATCAATGGTGTAAACACCTAGGGAAAGAAGTAAGAGTTAACAAAACAAGTGCAAACAATACAAGGGAATTGTAAGGTGATAGAAGAAGAGCACAGAAGGTGCATGGTAGAGGTTAGGAGTTAGAGGTGTTAAAAACAAAGTGTTCTTGGAAGAGATGAGTTTCCAATAGCTTCTTGAAGTTAGAGGGGGACGCCCCTGATGGCATGTGGTAGCTCGTTCCATCATCGTGGTGTCACAGATGAGAACAGGGTCTGAGATTACTTTGTGTGGCAGAGCCAGGAAGAGACCGAGAGACAGCAGCAACATGGCCTGAAAACGACAGCTGGTCATCAATCATGACACCCAAGTTTCTCACCACCCTGTTTGGAGTGATGGTTGGTAAGTCAGTTTGTAGTTTGATGTTATGGTTGATAGATTGCTTGGCTGGAATGACCAAGAGTTCAGTCTTAGAGAGGTTTAGTTGAAGGAGGTAAGCCTTCATCAATGCAGATATGTCCGAGAGACAGTCAGTGATCCGCGCCGAGACGGTGGGGTCGTCGGGCAGGAAGGATAGGTAGAGTTGTGTATCGTCTGCGTAACAGTGGTAAGAGAAGCCATGCGAGTGAATAATTGGTCCCAGTGACATGGTGTAAATTAAGAGAAGGGGCCCTAGCACCGAGCATTTGGGCACCCCTGTAAGAAGGCGGTGGGAGAAAGATAATTGTCCTTGCCACATAACACCCTCGCCCCAACAGGATTCAAATCTCAGAAATGCTTTGCCCGAGATGCCCATTGCTGAAAGTGCGGATAGCAGTACCATTCTCCTGGCAACCGCCAAACCCAGACTTGTCCATCGGATTGCCAGCCAAAGAAGCGCCATTCGTCACTCCAGAGACCACATCTCCACTGCTCTAGTGTCCAATGGCGGCGTGTTTTACACAACTGTATCGGATGCTTTGCGAAGTCTGTGATTTTATGTAGCCTACCAATTCAAGGCAGAGTTTCTGTTGTTTCCAATTGCTTCCACTTTGTTATAATACCAATAACAGTGGACGGTGGAATATTTATTAGTGAGGCAATTACACAAATGGACTTACTGCACAGGCTGCAACCTATCACAGTACCTTACTTGAATTCACTGAGCTCCTGAGAGTGACCTGTGGCCATGGAAGTGATTGGAGCACCTGAATTCAATGATTCAGAGGGGTGTCCTAAAACTTCTGGCAATAAAGTGTATGTTCACGTTTGAATACAGCTGGGTTGTCAAAGTTAGCACGCTGTACATAGCTGCTAGTCAATATCACCACGCCACAGTTACGCTGTCATTCTGTGGGAAACACTGGTTACCTTTGTTTAAGGTCCATTTCTGTCACTTCTGCAATGACATTCAGACGCTCATCTCTCAAAAGAATAAACAGAGCATGATACATCCCACATATGGAGATACAGCAGCTATACTGTATATATTATATTAATGACTTGCCTGTTCATCCTTCCAGAAGCACCGATGCTAGACACTGCTGCAGCTGTGAGTTGAACAGGTGTTTCCTTCATGGGAGTCGATGCTGCAGATCCTCTCTCATAGCTGGAGAAACAGCAGCAACATCAAGAGAATAAGTGCTACATGACACAGCTGCACACCCCTGTAATACATTCTGTTAAAATATGAAGTGTGGCTGTGTTAGCAGCTGGCTGACATGAGCTCCAAGGTTTCTGGTTAACGTTACACTTTGATTGGCAGTAATTTTCGGGTCTGTTGGGTCCAAATAACGAAGATAAATTGTAGGATTTGTCGCATGAAAGTAAAACTACAGTCCTGGTAGTAATTACTGAGTTGGTAAGTCTCCCTGTGGCCATGTTCCAGCTGAAGCTACCAAACAACACGTTGCGTTTAGATCGGGCTAAATTACCTGTGCAGCAGAAAACAGGCAACTTCGGCGTCACTCTGAAAACATTTGTCCCTCATCAGAGATTTCCATTTGGGGAAGGCCGCACCGATGTTGATCATTGTTTTCTGCCGTCGTCTGTCCACATTTAGTTTCACTTCTTCCTCTTTTCGCTCCGTCGCTTTTTCTTCTGCTAAATAACACGTACGATCCTCCATTTGTCAAAATGTTGGCTTCTCGGTTAGCCAGCAAACACTTCAAACTCATCTCATCTTCTTTCTTCTCCTCCTGTTTTCTACCATCTGCACATGGATGCAGGGTCTGCAGGAGAGGAAGGTTCCGGTTTCCGCCTGTAGTCCGGGGAGTATTGACCAATCACGTTGCAGCGGGCTTTGGTTGCATGCAGGTAAACAGTCCGTGTGGAGCGCAAAAGAGGCGGAACGCATCGACTGAAATGTAAATCTGAACCCATCGGTTATCATCTGACAACCATTTAGCTTTTTAAAAAATGTATCTGCATTCATAGGCAGATGTCTGTTTATAGAGATTAGCCGAAATGTCATCTGGAGATCTCTGAAGTTGCTAATCGGACTTTAACAATGACGCACGAACCTCTGATTGGCTCAGCCTGACGTTGGTGTTTCTGAAAGGGCTCTTCTTATGCCGCGTTCCAGACTGCTCGGAACTGGGAAATTTCCAAGTTGAAATATCCGACTCAACCAACCTCAAAGTGTTCCAGCTGCATGGTGGTGCATGACGCCGAAAGTGAACAAAAACCATGGCTGTAGTAAAGTAAAGTAGGCCTACAGTAAAGTCAGGAGTGTGTATGAGCGTGTGTGTGTGTGTGTGTGTGTGTGTGTGTGTGTGTGTGTGTTTTTGGGGAGGGAACATGAGAATCAGTGACAGTGGGGACCCGGGTCTTGTTGAAGAAGCCCATTGTCATCTGAAAGAAACTGTTTTGTTTGTGGCGAGAGGTTTTAGTCCTGATGGACCGCAACCCCCTGCCAGAGGGGAGTGTCAAACAGTTTGTGTCCAGGGTGGGAGTGGTCAGCCACAATTTTTCTTGCACACCTCAGAGTCCTGGAGGTGTACAGGTCCTGAAGAGATGGAAGGTGACAACCAATCACATTCTCTGCAGTGGCGACTGGGGAGTCACCCAGGATGATAGGGGAGGGTGGGGCTAGGCTCTTTCTAAAATCTATAACCATCTCCACTGTCTTCAGAGCGTTGAGCTCCAGACTGTTCTGGCTGCACCAGGTCACCAGATGGTCGATCTCCCACCTGTAGGCGGACTCGTCCCCACCTGAGATGAGCCCATTGAGGGTGGTGTCATGCGCAAACTTCAGGAGCTTGACAGACTGGTGACTGGAGGTGCAGCTGTTGGTGTACAGGGAGAAGAGCAGAGGGGAAAGAACACAGCCTTGAGGGGATCAAAGGACTTCATAACCGCAGATGTCAGGGCGACAGGTCTGTAGTCTTTTAGTCCAGGTTTCTTGGGGACAGGGATGATGGTGGAGGAAGCAGGCTGGTACATGGCATGTCTCCAGTGAGGTGTTAAAAATGTCCTTGAACATCGGAGACAGCTGATTGGCGCAATGCTTCAGGGTGGATGGGGAGACAGAGTCTGGCCCAGCTGCTTTGCGAGGTTTCTGACTCCTGAACAGTCTGTTGACGTCCCTCTCCAGAATGGTAAGAGAGGGGTAGGAGGTGGGGGATAAGATGGTGGACTGTGGCTGATCAGTGGTGTGACGGGGGATGGTGTTGGGTCTGTCCCATTGTCTTTCAAAGCGACAGTAAAACTTGTTCAACTCGTTGGCAAGGCGCGACTCGTTCAGGGAGTGGGGGGATTTAGGTTTGTAGCTGGTGATCTGTCTGAAGCCTCTCCAGAAAGAAGCAGAGTCATTTTTTGAGAACTGGTGTTGTAGTCTCTCTGCGTACAGCTGTTTAGCATCTCGCACCACCATGCTAAACCTGTACTTTGACTCCTTAAACCTGGCCCGGTCGCCACTCCTAAACGCCTCTTCCCTTTCCAACCTCAGCTGTCTGAGCTTAGCTGTGAACCAGGGTTTGTCATTGTTATAACTCATCTCTCACATTCTGCCGGACGCAGTGGAGAAGCCGATTGCTTTTGCGTCAAGGACATTAAACAAAGAAAAGACTAATTATGCTCAACTGGAACACGGAGCTTTGAGCATTGTATTTGGAGTCAGGAAATTCCATCAGTACTTGTATGGAAGAAAATTCACTCCTTACAGGCCACAGATCCCTCACGACCATTCTCGGACTGTTCACCGGAATACCATCTCTTGCCGCATCTCGACTTCAGAGGTGGGTGTTGTTGTTGTCAGGACTCTCATATGACATTAAGTATCGCAAGTCAGACTCCCAGTGCAAAGCGGATGGTTTATCCAGATTGCTGCTTTCTGTCACAAAGCCAGAGTCAAACACAGTGTTTCCACTGTGTTTTCTACTTCAGAGAGGTTGAAATAGCATCTATTTCAGCTGTTCGGGTGAAAAAGGAGACCCGAACTGACTCTGTGGTGTCTGCTGTCATGGACATGAATGTCAGGGGTCAACCTGTTGGGGATGATGCAAACTTGAAACCCTCACTTGTAAGGTGGACAGAACTGTCTGTTCAGTCAGGATGTTTGCTGTGGTGGAGGAGAGTGATTATTCCCTTGTCACTCCAAACCCAAGTATTGCAACAACTTCATGCGGGACACAGTGACATAGTGAGAATGAAGTAGATAGCAAGAAGCTACTTTTGGTGGCCAAACATGGCCAAACAGATTGAAGAGATGCCAAAAGCTGTTTATTTTCTCACAAGGTTAGAAACGACACTAGCTCCTCTTCATCCCTGGGAGTTCCCACAGAAGCCATGGCTTCATGTGTACATTGATTTTGAAGGGCCATTTGAGGGCAAAACGCACACAGTAAATGGCCTGAAGTGGCTTTCATGAGGTCAACTACCACAGCAAAGACAATAGAGAAGCTAGTAGAAATGTTTAGTCATTTTGGATCTCCTGCACAGCTAGTTTCTGACAATGGAGCTCAACTTGTCTCAGAGGAAATGCATGCGTTCCTGCAAGCTCATGGAGTGCAACACATTAAGTCAGCTCCATACCACCCAGCAAAAAACAGCCTTGCAGAGAGGTTTGTCCAGAAGATGAAACAGGCACTGAAAGCATCACAAGGCCAAGGAACACTTCCAGACTGCACAATTTTCAGCTGAACTACTGCAGCAGTCCACATGCAACAACAAAGACATTTTCTGCCAGCCTTATGTTTAAGAGAGATCTGCACCCTGCAGACTCTCAAACCCAGTACAACGTTAACTAAATAAAACTCTAACGTTACGTGATCAACAATAAACCTGTAACCAGTTTTTCACTCACAAAGCACAACCATGTCATGTGCAATGCAATTAATGAAAGCTTATTAACTACTTTAAGTCAACACGTCCCCCAGACTCTCAAACCCAGTGTAATTTTATAACTAAATAACACTGTAACGTTGCATGATCAACAATAAACCTGTAACCTGTTTTTCACAGAGCACAACCATGTAATGTGCAATGCTAACAATGACAGCTTAAACTAGCTACTGTAAGTCAACACACACCCAGACTCTCAAACCAGTGGAACATTAACTAACGTTACAAGATCAACAATAAACCTGTAACCTGTTTGCAGCCAGCATTAATAATTAACGTGATAGCAGCCAGAGGGACGTAAATGATTGTGTTAATCGACTACCCTAAGTTTGGCAAGTAAATAAATGCTTATTAATCTTTTCATAATGAAAGACAGTCGGAGTTTAACCTCTAGTAGGTCGTGGCTAAAGCAAGAAGCAAGCTAACGTTAGATGGCTAATACTGAGCTGGTGAGAGAGATGGACGGAGGCGATTAATGTTACATAAATGGAAGTATGCAGACCGAGTGACGTTAATGTGAGCTTGAAATGAAAGTGTGCTGTTGAGGGCGACACCCATACTCTTGACCTGAGGGGAGGGGGAAACTGGGGAGTTGTCAATGGTAAGAGAAAAACTGTCAGATTTAGTCCAAGTGGATTTGGTGACAATGAGGAGAACCTCTGTTTTGTCACTGTTGAGTTTGAGAAAGTTGAATTAAGTTTCATTAGGTTTGGTGGACAGGTAGAGCTGGGTGTCATCTGCATAGCAGTGAAAATGGATCTTAAATTTATAGAAGATATGGCCAAGGGGAAGTAAATAGAAGTAGATTTCCATCCTTGGATGTGTTCACTTGCTACCTAATACATCCCACCCACTGACTCATGGTAATGAGATAATCAGTATGGCTGATAGGTGTATATTGATTAAATTAGTTAATTATTAGTTCATGAATATCTTTGATCACACTGACCACAAAGCCTGAATCATGGCTTCTCTAACTCCATCTTACATTAACATTTTACATTTATTCATTTAGCTGACGCTTTTATCCAAAGCGACTTACAATTGCTATAAATATCAGAGGTCGCAGTGTCTTGCTCAGGGACACATTGGTGTCCCACAGTAGATTTGAACCGAGGTCTCTCACACCAAAGGCATGTGTCTTATCCACTGTTCCATCTCCACCCACATCTTGGAAGACACTTCCGTGAAAAAAATAAATAAAAAGGCTATGTAGGTTACATTTAGGGCTGCATCTTAGGTTTATTTTCATTGCCAATAAATCTGTCTGTAAATTATTTTCTCAATTCGATTTGTTTTTTGGTCCTCAAATGTCTTGTTTTTGGCACAAGCCAAAGACATACAGTTTTCTGTCATAAAGGAGAAATAAACCAGAAAATATTACACTATTAAGAAGTTGGAAGCAGAGAATGTTTGCACTATTACTAACACTATTTTTGTCTGACTATAATGTTAGAAAATATTCAAGTTTATCATTTTTATTACCCCGGCTCCATTTTTTATTACAATGGACATCTTAAGCATATTAAACATAACACGAGTCCACAAAATACAAAACAGAAAAAAAACAGTTTAGATAAATACAAATTTACTCAGTGGGATACCAACATTCCTCCCTGACTTTGTTGGCCACCACGGTGTTAGATGTAGCCGTTGAACTCTATAACTCCTCATATTGTGTCACTATCAACATACTTTCATCTGGAGAAAAATACAGAGCAGGAACCATTGTGAAAAACTCTTTCTGTATGGACAAACACACACATTTTATGAGAACGCCCAGACAACTCCAATAAAATAGGTGACATGCTTGTGCTAGATGGGTAGTGGAGCTCAAATGGTAAATTTTCATCTTCCATTTATCTATATGGATTCAGCCACAACAGGCCATGACAAATGCGTGTTCATTAGTCTGTTTTATACCCGATGCTACTGGTACATGTGGCATTTCGTTTACTTACCACACAGAGCCGT